CACGATGAACTATTTGGAGATCAGAACACGCGCTTTCGCGCTTATCTGTTGACGGCCCGGATATATCATGCGGATCATCTCGGAGGTAATCTCATGGAATTTTCTGTGCAGATATGATACATCATCAAAATTCTACAGTACACTTGTTCTTCAGTTTTCCGGCCGAGTTTGTCTCCGTACAGAATAAAGTTAACATATACATTAGACGTATATACGTACCTGTTTACCAAAGGCTTCAGATGCTACCCAAATGGCCCCTCCTTGATCATTGACCTCCGCAGTGTGTATTGTTTTGATATTTTTATTGTATAAAGAAGTGGATGATGTCAATCTCGCAGAATTCCAACGACCGTGCTTATTCAGTTTTCCAACCAACCTGACGTGTTGCATCTCAACCACGCTCCCGATTCAGAATATTATCGCTGCCTGTATTATGTAGTAAACCAATGACCCCGGCGCCCAACCCTTTACTGGAATCGAATCGAAATCTGTATAGCTGAATACATGTGTAAACAATGTTTGCACAGCAGTGATATAACATCTTTTCAGTGTCCCGGTTTCCTCAGTCGGTGTCGGCATTGGCGACCACGATATGCCGGCTCGGATTTTTCCGGCATCCAATTCAACCCCAGTTCCCAGTTTCTCGGCTGAAGCTTTGCCGATTTAAATAGCAAGTTCAGCCCCTTCTTGATTGAATGGAGTATGGGTATCCATGACCATAGTTGACGCAGCATGTGCTGGTACTTGCGACAATATGGTCTAGCGCCGCTCCTCGCTGATCTCGCACTCCCAATAGACACATTTGATATTTCCTGCCCCAGTCCATGATCCACGAAGCTCCGTTGAATAACGTTCTTACGCACCTACCGCGGACACATTCATTTTATACTTCTCGTGTTTCATTACTCCGAATGGGATATCGATATTCTCCTACGGAGAAGTCTCCATCTGCCGTCCATGCCAGAAGTACGATGACCGTGGGGTTCTGGCCACCCCGGTAATCGCCCTTGACTTTCTACTGAATCTTTATGCGTGCTTTACCTGAATACAATGAGCTCACTCCTGAGACGAAGATACAATAAATATCAATGACTACGAGTCTCGGTAAACAATAATAGAGTCCCCAGAGTAAAACAATCGTCACCGAATTTAAATTGATGCGCAATTTCCGGAGACGATGACTGGAGTTGGTTGAATAGAATCTCCTCCGCATTGAAACATGAGATACTTATGAACATTGATAAGTCATAATAGCGGTAGTGAGATGTACCGGCATTCTGACCTTGAGTGTAGATAAATAACATCGTTACTTCCTGCGCTCGATATTACTTCGATATTACTCGAAAGCGGTAGTGGAAAATCATGGGAAAGCATGTGCCATGAGACGTATTAGAGTCTATGCAGAAGAACGAACGGTGTGGCGAAACAATACAGATCAAGGTAATTGCACATGAAACGAATCCAAGCAAACGCCAAACGGGAGAAAATTATCGGAAAGGATTTGTAATTAGTTTGAGGTATGACAGCCTTAAGATACACGACTGCATTCAATCGTCAGAGATGCGACCTACGGCAGCGTCTAGGAGCTGAAAAAGAGTTGAGTCCATTTTAAGATCCACATATCCATAGCCGTACCGAAAATTTCATCAGAGCTAGGAAACGTCGTACGGGAATATGTAGCTTACGTGCAGCGATGTGATGCTTCTTCACGGCTGACTGAAGGAAGCGTAGTGGACACGTAGAACTTTAGGCAACTAGTGACTATGTAATATGATAAGAAAGGATTTCGAAGGGCGCAGTACGTGATAAACACAAGGACAATAATACGGAAATGATTTATAGAATCTGCAGAATAAGAATGAAAATGAGTCTCTGTATAATATGACTCAAGGGGGTAGGCAGAGGGATAACGCGCTATCATCATTGTATTTGGAAGGGTGCGCGTTGGCTTTGCCATATTTCCCACAGGGTACCGACCGTCATGGAATGCTCGCGACTTGGGAAGCGCAAAATTGAGGATACGTAACCGACCGTCCACCTACGGCGATTCATAAACATGTATCAATCCTATGGAGTCGATGTCAACGGAAGCTTCAGATGGCTCATTCGTCCCATTCATACTGTTTGCATACTCGGCATTTCTCCGAACACATATGGATGCAACAAATAATTCTGAGAATCGATAGAGTCGAGAGAAACACACCCCCCTTGACGTTTGACAAAAATAAACGAAGCGAAGAATGTTGATGATCTATTCTTATCGTTCGGGCTATTCCGAAATATCCCTGTCTGGTTCGCTGTTTGATCTCGGACGACGACCTCAGAATCCTCAGCAAGGTTAAAACGTGAGTAGATCGCGTTGAAAAAGATGAGAGGGCTTTACTACCACCACTTTGTTTTACCTACCAGCTTGCTAACATGGCATTGTCCTAAACTATAGCCGAATTCACCGACTTGAGTCATAGGCTATTTATGACCTACGATGTCTTCGCTATATCACTCTATGTCCATTGAAAGGCGAGTGGATCCAAGCTCGATGCCCTGGACGATGACACATCTAAATGGCTAGCTTATTTGTATCCCGATCTGGCTGCCATATTCATAAGATAGGCGACATCTCCTTGGTGCTAAAAGTGTGGCGTCGCAACTTGACATCCTGCGTGCGTACCTTCATTAATTGATTCTCGTGCTTTCTCCCCCTTTTTTTTTTGGTATATCTCGATAGGATGACGTTCTCAAGGTCGCGCAGCATCGTAAGTAGCGGTTTGTCCACTATTCCATGGCGTGATCGCAATGGAGATCATGCAACGCACTTTCCCGTACCTTCCTCTTGGTTGTAAATGTCAGAACCTCTGCATCAGATATCTATGTGAAGCCGTAAGCCGTCCCTACCGGTATCTATCAGTCGACTCAAACCGTCCTTGTGTATTAAATGAGGACTTGAGAGAAATCGGGAAATTACTCCGTTCTTTTTCTCGAAACCGGTGACGACGAAAACCTACAGGGCGTCCATATTGTCCGCATGATTTCGCATTTAGCACACTACGGCATTTCAATCGCTTCTTTGTTTGCATAGCCGGGTGTCTTACAGCTACGATACATCTATACGACTGATCTGCCCTTCCTTCCTCCTTTTCTCCGGCTCGCAGAACGACATTTGCAAATGTGACTATCAGTCTCCCTAGCTCTCATTCTACGTATGAACGCCCCAAACTACGCGTCTCCTATCCAGAGAACTTATCCAAATGGTCCCCAGCTACCAGCAACTTGGTTCTTCCCATTCCGATCTTAATCGGAACAAGAGTGGGCATTCAGCACTTTACCAGATCCTTGCGCCGCTCTTCGTTGCGTGTAGTTAACCCCCCACCGGCACAAATTGAACAACTGTGATGTTTAGCAGATTAACTTTGTTAACGGGCTATTGCCGCGATACCACCGCTGAAAAAAAAGCCTTGATGGTTCTTACGCCAACCCATGATCCGCGAAGACTTTGTCAATAGAGAGAGAAAGAGCATCAAAACGCCTACATTCAATTCTTTCTATTTACTCTTTTATTCTTTCGCCGACCAGGAACCTAACACAGTGGACTATTCCGCCACTCATCTGGACATTCATATTGCGTGAACCCTAAGCATCGGAGAACGGTGTGGAAGCCGGAACGATGACTCAGCTTTACGCCCCATTCATCATACGGCTCTCGATTCAATGTCTTGCACTGAGCTAGTACGCCTTGAAACTGGCCGACGTGGCGCAGTTCCCCCTAAGAAGAGGTGCCGTACGTCCATTTCCAAAGGTGATGATGTATACCCAGACAGACGCAACAGCACGAGAGCCCAGCCGATAGCCGTCCTCTGCTCATCCCTCGTTCCGGTGGCGACAGAGCCCTGTCAAGAAATGATGTTCGTCACCTCGGGGAATCGATCCTTGAGTTGCCGAGGCAAGCGGCACTCGGGCTGTTTCACGGGATTCTTCTTCATAGCTGTGGCGTATATCCTCGGTTTGAAGCTGTCGTCTCCTCGCCGCCGGTTCTTCCTGGAAGTTTCAAACAAACCCTGTTTCATGTCATGAAAGTATTCCTCAAAGAACTTTTCCTGGCTCGCATCAAAGTCGCCGTGAGTTTCTGTATTTTCGTTGGTCAAAATTGTTAACACGACGAATAGAGCCCATTCTCAGCGCCATGGGTACAACGGTGTTCTCGCACTCCTTTTAGGTTCATCTTACATTACATCAATCATTGAAGGCATTTCGCACAAATCTGCTAGTAATCAAAATACCTGTCACGTCCGAACGATACAGTAACCTCTTCGTACTCTATAGATGAAGCGATTTTTCATTCCTTGATAGGTACGTTATCATCGTCTGATTATCCCAACCTAAACGAGAATATTCACCAACAAGTTTTCTGAAAACCCTCTCCCACTCTGAACATTTACCCGAACTAAGATAGAGGTCACCCTCGCTCATTACGAGTCTCATAAAAGTCCCGGATGTCCTTGGCTTTCCAGGCTCTACATCAGTTAACGAACGCGTTGCAGTGTCAACAACACAAGGGAAAGTCTGTAGAAACAACATCAAATAAAATCGTTCTCCCTCTTAGCTCAGTTGGTAGAGCGCATCACTAGTACAGATGTAGTGTCATGCAGCGGCAGCCGTTTACCCTGTGCTTACCGATCACCCTAGATGAGTTCAAGTCGGCTAGAGGGAATTTAGGCCAGGATTTGGTTCTAATTTTACTGCATGGACCTAGAATCGGAATTAATATTCGCAGCTGTGTTCACCGCACGGGGAAATGAAGCCGAAGAATTGAGAATACCGAAATTCACCGGTATAAGGACACGAGCGATGAACGGACGCTGTATGTTCACTTGAAAATGCGATCGATCGCATTGTCTTGCAAGGATCGGCAAATGCGTGTGGGGAAGGAATGATATTTGATACAGTGATCTCCTATCTAAGATTTTTAGAGGTGATAGATAAGCCATGATACCCGAGCTAGTATTGCCCTCTTAGCTCAGTGGTAGAGCGTGTCACTCGTACGGAAATTCAACATGAAAATCCATGACAAGGTCAGTCGTTCAAGTCGGCTAGGGGGCATTTTTGATATCTTCGCCGACAAAAAACACTATAAGAAAGCTACATTGAAATAACACCAACATTCATACTTTTACTTGAACGGAAGAACTAAAAACACATTAAACGAAGGGGAACGAACAAGAAAAAAGGACGGTCCGAGGAATCGTGTATAATAAAAAGAAACCTTAACTACCCTTCCTCTTTTTCAACGACGGCGCCTTCGTCACCTCCAGGACCGGTATCCCTTTCCCAACTGGTCGACGGCCTACTCCCACCAGGGCCCCCATTACTCGTACTCAAAAAGTCCAACCAAGCACCATCGACTCTGCCTTGAGTGGGACTATGGGTCGGGCCAGTACCAGGTTGAGCATTCGTGGGAGCGTGTATCGGCCAATCGAACCCTCCCGTGCCTGCTCCTGCTCCCGATGGTCCACTCGACGACCCCGGCCTTCCATGATCGTCAAACAAGCTAAACATCTCTCCGCTTCCACGAGACATAGGGGCACTCAATGGGTAAGTCGTGTATCGTCTCTCGCTTCCGAATTGGGGAGGATTGGAAAAGTTGCTTCCACCACTTCCTCCTCCTCCTCCACCACCACCACCACCGCCTCCTCCACCGCCGCCGCCGCCTCCGCCACTGTAGAAGGGCGTGTGGTGGTACTGAGTGTTAGGTGGTGGGTAGAAGCCTCCTTGGCCTCCTACTCCTGCGCCTCCACCGCCACCACCAGACCCGGATCCAGAGGAGGACCGGCTGTGCATGCCGGGTCCAGAAACGCTGGGCGGGGAAAGACGCTGCTTCTTGTGGGGGTTCGTATTTGGGTGAGGGTGGCGGAGGGAGGAGATGGGGATTGACGAGGACGAGGTTGATGGTTGCTGTATGGGCGTCTGGGGAATGGGCGGTGGAGGTATCGCCATTGCGCGGGGCGGGGGGGGCGGGATGTGGGAGTGGTGTGATGGATGGTGCTGTTGGTGCTGATATTCGAGCTGTCGGGAGAAAGAGTGGGTTAGTTGGTACGTGAGGAAGAGAGAGACGAGAAGGGAATATAGAAGCTGGGCGGTTAACGGAAGCCAAGATCTTGGGCGTTGACGACGGGATATCAACGTCATGACGACGGCAAGAACGACGGGCAACAGCGAGCAGAGTATGTTGGCCATCGTCGAGCACGACGGCGAAGCGACCACCGGAGCGAAGAGTGGGTTCACTGCTGACTCACCTCGCCAAGGTCAGCCGCCCCAACGGGTCTAAGTCGTCCACTTCCCCTACGTTTTGACGGCACAGACGACACGACTTCATCCTCCTCATCCTCGTCCTCTTCATCGATTATCTTCGCAGCGCCAGAAAAGTCTGCTGGTCCACGCGTATCCTTCTCGCCCTCGTACTAGATAATAAGGAGGTCCGTCAGTGACCCCTATAGCGATCTGGAAAGAAAAAGAAAAAGAAAAAGAAAAAGGTTCTTACGCGCAAATGTCTCTGTACGATATCCCTAGTATCGCCGGAGCAGTATTCATACAGCTTCAGATGATGACCCGGACGTTCCTCTAAAAATAGACGATGAGCGTCAGCCGAGCCCTCTTGGCATGACTAGACTCGAACACGCACCAAAGATGATCACAGCAACGTCCACGCTACAAAGTACGCCGAGCTCATACGCTTTTTTGAACAGTCCATTCTTCCTCTACGGCGAGAGCCAAAAATAAAGAAGAAATGCCAAGAACTTTATTAGTCTCGTGTCGGGACAAAAATAGCAAGCGACCATTGGGATAAAGAAAGATGGGAGGATGGACAGTACTGGGATCGTTGTGTGTACTGGGGGAAGGGGATGGCGGTCAGATATTAGGCGTACCTTTAGAAATGTCACAGAGCGGTTTCGTTCATGCTACAACCGCAGCCAAAAAAATCCATCAGCGCCCTCATATCCACTAATAACATATCCAAGCATCGAATACTCACAGTAATCGGCTGTATCTCAATCTTTCTGCGTCCCATGGCGAGGTATGTTAAAAGTAAAGGTGGTGGTGGGGTTACGAGGTGGGAAGTTTGTCGCCCTCTTTGCTCTTGGGTATGTATTGCGCTGCCGACATGCCGTACCCAAACATCCCCAAATAAATCTCGGTGGCGGTCTTATTGCTCCCGGCGATCGGGTTCGACGATTTCGGATCTCATTTGTCTTTTCGATCTCAGTCAATGACCGGAGGGAGATCAATCCATCACTTCTTGATCCCAGTCCAATACCCAATATTTTTTTTTTTTTGGCGCCTCCCTCACTGATCCCAGACGCTGTTTGTTGATCTTCTTCCATCTTTGACTTACAATATACACCCCAACATGCACTTTCAGTCTTTCGTAACAAACCTCCAGGCCGTTTTGATCTGAATCTCCGCGTAATCCGGCGCTTTCCCTCCCCTCCATACTTCCCGCAATAAACCCATTTTTGTCATATCTCCCCCCCAGCTTCACTCCCAGTCTTTTTCCCACTCTCTCAACTAGGAACGAGTAAGTTCAACAAAAAAAAAACACATTGTTTCATGATGGTTGCAATCTCGGGATGCCGTAACCCGTACATACATCGTCGGTGTTTACCTAACCCTTACAAACTTGGCGCGCAATCCAAAATTCCGCTCGCGTCCGACCGTCTTCCCGCCCTCTCTCCTCCTCCTCCTCCTCCTTCTTCTCGCCTCTGCCCTATCTCCACTCGTTGATGGTGGACTTGCGACGTCATTCTACGACGTCACCACTAATGGCTCAACGCGTGATGTCTTGATATCTTGATGAACGAAATAAGAAAAATGATTCAATTCCACATGGACAATGTCCTCCCTTTACCTCTGTCTTCGGGTATTCACCGGAATCCATCAAACCAAACCTCCAGTTCGGACGCGTCAAGTCTTCCTAGATAGGGAAGTCGCACTGATTCTCCATGCAAGATATGACTGCCGCGGGAGAAACTCTCTCTTTTCGGTCAGCTCTCTCATTGGCTCTTTGTCTACTCCCACCTCTCATTGGCCACTCAACTCCATCACCTCATTGGTTCTCACTGTTTGTTTTCCTTCCCATCTTCGCTTGTTTTTCTTCCTCTACGTTATTCGCAACCTCAGTCTCTCATTTGTATTTCCTACCACACCCTTCTTCCTCGTTCCAGACCAACGACTCATCATTTTATCCCCCCACACAGAGCCTGTTCATTTCCCAGTCGTCATTCGCCTTTGTTTGGCCTCTTCCCTGCCCTTTTACTCGGCCTACCGTATCCCCGGGACATATGGCTAAATCTTCTTCCCCCACTCCTCATCTCGTGCGGAGGCCTCGCCCCCTCCTCATCCTCACTTGCGGCACCGTTACGCCAGCCCATCACCCAGACATCGGTTCCGTTACAGCTGTTCGCCTCACTTGAGCCCGATAACACCTTCCCTCTCCAACTTCGAAAGCCAAAAAGCCAAAAACGGGGTAAACCTTTACGTTCCCCATCCTCCTTCCCTGCCTGTCTCTTCGCCCTTTCCCGAGATATCTTACGTTCAAAGGGGAAGTCCGTGGTGGATAAAACATACCAGAGTGCCTCCTTACGTTCCACGACGCCCTCTCTTGGGGCGTTATCGTTTCCGATAGCACCGTCCGCAACGCCTTTTACCCTTCTTCTCGCCAAAACACATGTCCCGGCTCGTATATCATTACGTTGGATTTCAGAAGAACCATTTCCTTTCTCCCCTCTCCTTAACCTCCACATTGGAGCGGTCTGGATCCTAACAACAATCAGCTCCCTCTAGCCCACGTTCATCTCCACTTGACAGGACTCTTAGGGAAGTCAAAAGATATGTTTTTTTTTTCCTACTCCGAAGCGCCACGACCTAACACGTGAGACGCACCTTTGCCTCGTTGACTCTCGCTTCCAGGCTCTCTCCAACATACAAGCCATCGATGTCGAACCCGCCACTGGTTTCTCGTAGACTGGCGTCACGAACAGGGTCCGATTATCCGCATGGGAAGAGAGAGTTTCTTGGCGACAGGTGGAATCAAGCTTAACAAGGGGGTTCAGCATTCACGCTGTAGGTAGCGGCTGGAAAGTAAGGGCCGTAACTACCCACTACATACACTCCTGTACTACCTACCGCAAAATCACATTCACTCAGTTTGACGCCTACTTACATAACTAATAAGATATTCTGTGCAATTCATATCAAGCACAGGCTCGTTGGCTCATTCACGAGTCACGACTACGATTCATCTCTTAGTGTACGGTCTTTAGCAGTGGGATGCAAAAAGTTCCGCGTTCCGAATTGAATTATTCCCTCTAGCCGACTTGAACGACTGACCTCGTCATAAAGGACCGTCAAGGACAGATACTAGTGACGCGCTCTACCAACTGAGCTAAGAGGGATCATGAGGCTCTTACGATATACTATCTACGACCATTCTCCCATTCAAAATACCTCCCGCCGAATCCCGATGCGATATTTATCCGACCCTCATTCCATTCGTCAAACGCCACACGCCGATCCCTTGATAAAAATAAAAATAAATCAAAAACCGGAAGAGATCGAGCGTCTTTATTGGCTCCGAGGTATAAGTGGTTTTCGTAAACAGGGAACATTCACTGTAGAAATGTAAAGTAACGGGCGGCGTGCGGGCCCGACCGTGACTGACCGGCAATGGTGACTAGGCCTATCCACGGGCGGAACAACAGTCTAGAAAGATGGGTGCTCCGGCTAGGACGGTAATAGTGGGTGCCGCATCCTCTTAAATCACTTTTGGTGGGCCTCGAGTACTTCTGGATGTACAAGCGAGAGACAACCAATGAGCTCCATAGCCGTTTTCCAAAAGTCCCGAGAGAAATATCGCAATAACGGAACATACTAAACAAGAAAGCTGTCATTCCGTACAAGTCATGTACCCAGGACTAGAAAATTATGAATGGACGTGACAGCCTCGCGGAAAACCTGAGAGTGACGGAAGAAGCAATTCAACAAGTCTGGTAAGACGAATGACGATTCTCTGTCTGTAAAGCCCACGATTGCACGGAGGAATCAATGAGACCAGCGTATCACGGGAGCGGTTTCCCCCTACTACACCAAGTATGAGCACAATCTGTATGGGAGGATTCAAGCAAATGGAGAAACACGGTGTCCCGTGGGGTAACCGCAGCGATACAGGGACAAAGAGGATTGGTAGAACCAAGCACAAGGATCTCTCGGGGCGCTCATCAGGAAGAACGGTTGGCCCGACAGAAGGGGCAAGGGCAAGTACGGTAAATGAAAAATTTCCCATCCTACGGTGAAGTTACATCCCCTTGAGCAGCCATAGAGAACAAGTTACTCACACGCGGCTTCTGGCGGCTTCTGACCGGAAAGACGCCAAATCAAAACGACTAAGTAGGCTGATTTTGGTTGAACGTTCCGGTATTACAGCCAGTGGATGTAGCAGCAGGCATCGACGCTCCGAGATGATGAGTTGAGCGTCTTTTATGGCGCTTATGATCTCCCGCTGCTGTCTTGACTTTGATTACGTATCCGGCTTTCATATTTTCTACCTTTTTTCGTTTAGAGTCAATGGAAGTCTTCCGGAATACATAACGCACATGCTATTGTCGCGACTTGTTTTCCGTGTTTTATGGTAGCCTAAGTATCCGTTATGATTGGACGTCCGGATGCTCGGACCACCGTCTTGAACTCTTAACATTCCGTACAAAACACAATCCTACTATTTCACACCGCTTATCGCTTTAAAGATAGACCCAACAAAAGATTAGAGAAGCACCCATGTACAATCATACTTCGTAGAGTCCGCTGATATCCCACCAGTAGCAACATTGATGAGCAATGAAGAACTAAATGATGGCCGTTAACAGATCAGTTAGGGTAAGCGGGAGATGTTTAACTGCCACGACGAACCAAGAAATCTAAAAAATGGAAACACACCTTGGTGAAAGCGTTGCTGTCGATTTCGATGTTATCTTCTATCTCCGCGAGTTGTATTCCGTTCAAGATGCTTTGTAAACATCAGCAAGAGCAACTCTGGCACTCTTCCTGTCTTGGTGATAGAACACTAATATCCGTGCACCATCGCTACTTTAGGTGATACTGCGGATAGCGGGCCGTCAATGTGATGCATCGTCAAGTATTGAGAAGAATGAGCAGCTTACGCTCTGAAACCTTACGGGCTGAATAGTACTGATGAATTACCCATGCTGCGAGAGCTTCGGGAATAGTGATTCAATTCAATATGAGCCCAGTTCTACGTGGAGCAAAATATATACGGATTCCCGATTCGAGTGTCGTAGACCTGGAGCATTAGTATGCATGTGCACACAAACATAGTGGCGAGACAGTTCCAAATGATATTCATCAAAGTTCTCCGGTAATCCGAACAAGGTGGAAGGATAGAAGCGTTGTATACACGGCGACATGTACTGTCGAAACGCGCTTTGAGGGGAGACAAAGGCAGCTTTGTGTTCCGAACCATTCACTTGGGCGGATTCTGAATGTCAGAGACGGAAACTCACAAGACAGCGATCAATACGGCGATAAAATACCTCCAAATCCTGGGGTGATTAAAATCAGCGGAGAGGCAGTGCTGCAGAAGCGATGGGAATTTAATTCAATGAATGTAGTGTGCCAAGGTAAGATGGTGAGATCATTGCTGACGGAGAAATGGTAATTACCATGGAGAGTGGATTGTTTAGCTTATGTTTTCCCTGCTCCAACCAACAAATGACCAATGCCGTGATCTTTGAAATCGAAGTTGGCGGAGTTGAGTAAGGCAGTGGTCAAGGTATCGCCGGAGTCGGCCGCTTGTGGCGGTAAGGGTCATCAGAAAGTCGAGCGATAAGATAAGATACAGGATGCTTCTTGGGCTTAACGCCCTCTTGTTTGCCGATAGTGATATCTCCGTGCGATCCTATACATTCTACCTCAAGGTTTGAACCAGCAAGATCAGTGAACGCATGAAACGGAGAGTAGCGGTTTGAAGTGCGGCTGACGCTTTATCCATGTGCTGCGCTGTCAGGTAGTCTTCATGAACTTGAAAGCGATCGTTCAATGTAACCTTTCTGAGTGAAACTCGTCAATAATGCTTGGAGTCGTCCACGAAAGGCAGTCCGACATCGGTTATCGGACGTAATGCACTGACTAAAAGCTGCTGTCTTGGGCCTTCGGTTTCTCGGGCCTCGGGTTCTAGAAGCGATGCTCAGACATGATAGGTGCCAGTCATGAACGGCTATGACGCTTCATTCGGTAACCAAACTACTGTGGCGTCGACCGGGTACCAAGTCAGATTTCCTTTATTCGACGGCGTTGGAGTTAGCAATTCGCAGCATGTGAGTTGCAGGCATACCCAGAGTGGATGAGACAGCAGCCGTCATAAAGGAGATAACTGGTGTAACATGTACATCCCCCCGGCCATAAGTAGTTGCAGAGATGCCCACAAGAAAATCAGCGTAAAATGAGTGAATATATATACCACGACCATCGGCCCCATCAACATACCGGTTATCTGCTAAGAATGAACTTTTGAATTTCATATACCAATAATAATATCTTTGATCAAATACATGAATAGCTCGAGTCCAATGTCAGTTATGAATAACATTGCACCGACGAAGACAGACCCTGATCTACCTACCACAGAAATAGGTACCCTAAGGCCCATTCGTTAAGAATAACAGTCCGCGCTCCCCTGATCGACATTTCACGAAATTAGACTCGCAATGATAAATAAATTTATCTATGGTACACCTAAAGTTAGCTGAGACACCATAACAAGCACTTTACGGAGTCGAAAGGAAGAGGACGATAAGAAAGCGTCAGTTCGGCAGACGATTCCCTTATTGGTGCATTTCGACCCATCAGATACACCGTGAGCTATCATTACCGAAGTCAGTCCCTGGAGCCAGGTTTCCAATGTAAGATGTAAAAATTCTTCTGGTTAATAGGTAATTTTCATTGTGTGAGTTCTTCATAACACAAAAGAGCTTGTTCGAACAATGGACCTAGTAGCAGCACGAGATTATAGACAGTCAACAATCTAAAGAAATGCGAATCTCGTAATCTGTCACAGTCAGCAAGGAATATGAAACCATACGTACCTCAACTTTAACGCTAAGCGCCGTTGAATGTAAGACTGCGTGGAAAGAAGCAAAGAATAACGGTCCTACGCTGGCCAAAACGCTTCAAGTTGCGTTGTACCGCCGAAGATTCCTTAGACTACAAACCTGTTCTGCAACCGTAACAGTCTTTGAAACTCGACCAAGCCTCTCACATTGACACTAGTCCATAAGCTCGTGATAACGGCATTGACGGTACGATAGGGCTGCGGAATAATCTGCCCAGGGATATGTGAAAGAGCCGAGATGTGGGATCGCGTGAGATCGCGGTGTTCCGCTACCAATTGAATTGAGGGCTGATGGGATCTTCCGGCAGGGCGTATTGAGTATCGCTTTGCAAACCGACGGGGCAGCCGGAATTTGTCCAGGAACGGCGCTAGACCCAAAGTATCATAAGAGAGCCTTATCTAGAACAACACGCGGAGTCTGGTATTCAGTGTTGAATTTCCCCACCCTCGCACCGATCAAGAACCATCGTCTTGTAAGTGTCAGACAGAGTACTCGTCACAATTTCATGTTTCTATTCAGTTCATAGAATGGGGGACGATTTTAATAGAGACCGAGATGAACAGTTGTATCCCGTAAGATGTGCATTACGATGTCTATGAGGCGTTACGCCATTGGGACTTAGCCTTGACAGTGTCTATGGAATAGGGAGAGAATGGAAACCCCATTACCAAGTCCAGTGAGCCCTTCACTCCTACCCAGAGTCTGTCAACGTGATCGTTACCAGCTAATAAGACGATGCTTCTATGTCTAGACACAAAAACACACCACTGCTTATTTCAATTGGATAATGTGGCGTATGTAATAAGTATAGAAGCAGTGATGAACTGTAATCGTAGCGATTTCTGCCAATAGTTCGAGCCGGATGATGCTGCTTACGAAAAAGCATTTATGGTACTCGAACTTCAGTTTCGTAATCCATACTGGCCCCAGCCATACGTTCACGCCTCGAAGGCACAGATACAGAAACTGTCGACTTGGGTAAAGGTAAGTAGAGTAAATCGATCAGATCCAGGGGAGCCCCCAACGAACGTATACTGGGTCGGCAAAATCCGGGGAAAAAATCAACAGCTAGAATACAGGAATTTCTCGTAGGAGCATATAAGTTCAGAGGATATATAGGACGTGTCACCCGTAGAGTTGATATACCAAAGGATAAGCGAGCAATGTTAAGTATGTAAGACTTATTGGGAAGGAAGCAAACTCTACAGATTGTGTCTACACCCTACACAAGCAGCTGGTCGGTTGCTATCAGCCTGGCTTCACGAGAATTT